AGCTGTCTACACTGGCCGCTTGATTTTGCGCAAAAGCACTGACTTTCTACTGTCTGAAATCAGTGCTTCTTGCGGAAATACTATGCTGCTCCTGTTCGGGCAAAAGTCCCTTTTGTGCAAATGCTTTTGCGCAAGAGGGCCAGTGTAGACAACGCGGTATTGTTTTGCGCAAAAAAGCCCCGATCGCAAAAATGGCGATCGGGACTTTCTTGCACAAAACCGCGTCTAGATTGGCACTGATGCTTTTCCGCAAAAAGTGCCAATCTAGATGCTCTTTTCCACAAATGCTTTTAACGGAAAACTTTTCCGTTAAAAGCATTTGCGGAAAATCATGCCGGTCTAGACGTAGCCCAAGTGTCTTCTCAGAGCCCAGTAAACAGCATAAGTGTTGGTGATCCTGCTAGACAGTATTGATCTCCTGTGGTCTGGCAAATTCTCTGATTCTGCCACCATCCAGTTCTGAGGCTGCCGGACTAGAGAAGTTCAACCTGCATTTCCCAGGTCCTCTGATCCCCCGTTTTCAAGCTAGGTACTGTTGGCTGTTCTCCAGTCTTCTGGGACCTCCCCCATCCCCTACGGCAGGAGTGGCCAACCCATTCTGGACAAAGAGCCAAAATAGCAGTGAATACAGCGTGAAAAGTCAAGGCAAAGTTGTTGAGCAAAAAAGGAAGCTCCCTGGAGTTATTGAGCCAAAAAAAAAAAAAAAAAAGAAGGGGAACTCCCCCTTTAAAGGCTTTTTGGCCACATCAGGCTCCCGCCATCCGGATGGCTCCCCTGTCCCGGAGAGCACTGGGAGCCGGGAGGCAGAGCCCATTTTCAGGGGCACAGGGGCGGTTTCACGAGACATGGGGGAGGCTTCGCGAGCTGCACTTTCGAAGGGGAATGAGCCACTTGCTGCTCATGAGCCGCGGGTTGGCCACCCCTGCTCTATGGGCTCTCAGAGATCGTTGTCAGTGGTCCAAGAGTATCAGAAGGCCTCAGTGACCTGTTGCCATAGTTACTCTGTGCTCTGACAGTATGGAAGTGGCAGCTTGGAGAGGTCAGGGAACAGATGGACCGAGGGCCATAACTTCTGCTCTCCCTTCCTCAGGGCCCCCTGCTCCCCGAGTGGACATCTCAATCAAGGTGGAACGGGAGGATGAGCCCCAGTGCACGGATTCCCCAGACTTCGTGGTGGCGGTGAGGCCCCAGGGTGAGTAAGTGAAACCGCATCCCTCATCAAGGCCCCGGCAGCTCGCTGGCAAACCTCCCTCGCTTTACGCGTTGCTCTAGTGATTTCCAATCACACGCAAGTGCTTACTGCTGGTGGGCAGAGGCAGGATCCGTTATCCTGGCCCACAGGAGGGATTTTCTTAGTGACAATTATTTCTTCTCTGCCTGCAGGGTATCCTGGCGTCCCACGTGGCTTAGTCAAGACCGAAGCATGTGACCAGGTAGATGTCCTGGACTCTGCAGAGAGACCAGCGACCCACGGACACTCCACAGGTGAGGAAACAGTGTCCCATTTCTGGGCCACACCCATCGTGCGTCAGAGGCTCTGGCCACATGGATTGCATTGCCTGGATGCAACTGCTTCTGGGGTGGAACGCAGCTGCTGCAGAGCTCTGCCTAGGTGGCAGGAATGTAGGGCCCAAAGAGACCTCCTGGGTCATGGACTGCAGCCCCTGTGTTGCAGACAGTGTCCCCCTCTTCCCAGCTCCGCAAGGAAGCGCCTTATGGCTGTTTGCCTAGAGGGCCTGTTCTGTCCTGAACAGCTCAGGATACAAGCTCATGTTGGGGCCCACACAAACCCTAGTCATCCCTTAAGCTCTGATGTTACATGGGAGGTGAGTGGGGCAGGGAGATTCTCGTCCATCGGGAATACCCCGTCTCCCTTTTTATTTAACCCACATCCATCGCCTCGTGGCGACAGGTGTCTGTTGTGAACGTCCTCTCCAGTGGGGGATCCTCCCTTCAGTAGCCTGGCTCAGAGTCTGCCTCGGGCTGTCAATTAGTGGGCGTTAACGCCTGCGATGAGCGCAGGGCAGAATTAACGCAGTAAAAAAATTAATGCACGTTAATCGCAGAGGGCGGCAAACCAGCCCGAGCTTCTCTGCAGACTCTCTGGTAAGGCGCAGTAATGCAAACCACCACCAGAGGGCACATGGAAAAAAAGAAGCCACGAGAAAGGGAAAAAACCAGGGTTGTCAAGCGATTACAAAATTTCATTGCAATTCATCGCGTGCGCCTCTCCTGTGAAACGCCGCCGTGGTGTTTCAACGGGGCAGCGCTGCATGGAGCCCCGGATCAGCTGGAATCCCCAGCTGACCCTAGGCTCCATGCAGCGCTGCCCCCTTGAAACACTGTGGCAGGGGTTTCCAAAAGGGGACTCCAGCTGATCCCTGGCTCCACGTTGCAAAGCCCCTTTGAAATGCCACTCCGGCGCTTCACAGGCACTTTGCAACAGCAGAGCTGGGGACTCCAGCTGATCCCTGGCTCCACGTTGCAAAGCCCCTTTGAAATGCCACTCCGGCGCTTCACAGGCACTTTGCAACAGCAGAGCTGGGGACTCCAGCTGATCCCTGGCTCCACGTTGCAAAGCCCCTTTGAAATGCCACTCCGGCGCTTCACAGGCACTTTGCAACAGCAGAGCTGGGGACTCCAGCTGATCCCTGGCTCCACGTTGCAAAGCCCCTTTGAAATGCCACTCCGGCGCTTCACAGGCACTTTGCAACAGCAGAGCTGGGGACTCCAGCTGATCCCTGGCTCCACGTTGCAAAGCCCCTTTGAAATGCCACTCCGGCGCTTCACAGGCACTTTGCAACAGCAGAGCTGGGGACTCCAGCTGATCCCAGGCTCCTGATGCGCTGCCCCTCTGAAACGTGGAAGCGGCACTTCAAAGGAGCAGCACAGCATTAGTGCCTGCGATTAACGCATTAAAAGGATTAACACGTTAATCCTGTCCTGCATTAATCGCAAGCGTTAACACAGGTCAATTGACAACCCTAAAAAAATCTTGCAGATATCCCAACTCCAAGGGAGAAGTAAACAAGAAGTAAAGGACAACCATCCCTCTCCCCTCCCAGGTGACCATATTTTTAAAAATAAAACAGCCGGGGTGGGCGGGGGAGGGGTGGGCTTGTGCTCACCCCCGCCCCCCCACAGGGCTTGACCAAGCCACTCTCTTTTTGCCTCCTGGGGCTGGGACTGACCCTCCCCCACATCTGATTCAGGGGCTGAGTCCCCCCTCCTGAACTCTGCGTTGCCCATGGTAGGGGTCTACCCCTCCAGCCTAGGGGCTGACACCTCCCCTGAAATTAGGGGCTGGCTCCCACCCCTGTGCCACCTGCAGTTGAGGGCTGAACCCCCCCAGAACTCTGCTTTGCCCATCGCAGAGTCTACCTCCCTCTGTCCCTGTGCCTCCCACAGCTGGGAACTGAGCTAAAAAAGGACACGTAAATAGGACAGAAATATATCGATTCTATGGACGAATGTATTGAATTATTCCAGACATTGACACAGTTCTGCTGTGTTTTCATGATCTATAGGGATAACACATCAGACAAAGTTAATGGCGCAAAGCAGCAACAGTTCAGGTCTTTTGAATGGGAAGTTTACGTTTAAAATACTTCCGGATGGTTCTCTGTCTAAACGGACGGTTCTCTGTAGCTATTGCAAGGCTGAGTTCCAATACCATAGAAGCACTGCGAGTCTGAAGTACCACCTACGTGCTAAGCATGCTTTTGCCTCTGGATTGTCTGCTACAGATAACCCACCTCCACGACAGAGCACAGTTACTAAGTTTCAGGATCGCGACAAGCCCCTGGATCAAACAAAATACAACACCTTAACCAATGCTATTGCCAGGTGGATAGCTATAGACTGCAGACCACTCGACATTGTCAATGACAGAGGGCTAAGAGAGATTATTCAAATAGCATCTTCCAATCAGTCATACACCTTGCCCTCCCGAGGAACCATTGCATCACGAATAAATGACCTGTATGACAATGAGAAGACTGCCAAGTTGGAGCTTCTGAGAAATGCACCGGCTGTTGCTTTGACTGGTGATCACTGGTCATCCTCGAGCAATCAGAACTATCTTGGTGTCACGGCACACCTGATTGATACTGCATGGACACTACAGTCGTTTGCCGTGACGGTAATTCCTACTGAAGAGAGACATTATGCCGAAGCATGTGCAGAGCGTTTCATGGATGTTGCGGAAGAATGGAATATCCAAGAAAAGGTGACGACAGTTAGTACCGACAGTGCGTGTAATACAGTAGCAGCGACCAGTCGCTTGTCGTTTGAACACATGGCGTGTGTTGCTCACAGTCTGCAGCGATCCATTACCGTAGCCCTGACTGATGGTGGTTTTGAAAACGTGCTGGTAAAATGCAGAAAACTTGTAGGCCATTTCACGCACAGCCCAGCTAACGGTGCAGAGCTAGGAGTACAGCAAGCGGCAAATGGTCAGAAACAAGAACCTCTGGTACGAGATATGTCACCCAGATGGAATTCCACATTGGCTATGATTCAGAGCCTGCTTTGCAATAAAGCCGCTGTCACATCCGCGTTAGCTCTTCAGAAGCACCGTCTATCCATGCCAACAGATGAAGAGTTTGAAAAACTGCAAAAGCTAGAAACGTTACTTGAGCCCTGCAGGTTTGTGACTGAACTTCTTGGGGGGGAACTGTATGTTTCTTGCTCCGTGGTTTTACCCGCATTCTGCCATATAGTCCAAGTTATGGCAGTCTCTGATGATGACCCAGCATATGTGGTTAGATTTAAGACCACTTTCACAACAGATTTTACCAAACGCAAAGAAGGTACCAATCTGAGGTTCCTAAAAATAGCCACAGCACTAGACCCCAGGTTTAAGAATCTGAAGTGCCTTCCAAAATCTGAGCGGGACGAGGTGTGGAACATTTTGTCAGAAGTCTTAGAAGAGCAATCCCCCGATGCAGAAACTAGAGAAACCGAACCACCACCCAAAAAATTAAACCTGCTGCTGCTGGCATCTGATTCAGATGATGAAAATGAACATGGTTCAATCCGCACTGTTCTGGATCGTTATCGGGCAGAACCCGCCATCAGCACGAACGCGTGTCCTCTGGAATGGTGGTCGAAGCGTGAAGGGGCATACGAATCTTTAGCGCCTCTGGCACGTAAATATCTTGCTACGCCGGCTACAGCAGTTCCATGCGAACGTCTGTTTTCACTATCAGGTGACGTTGTGAACAAAAAGCGTGCAGCATTATCTCCCACAAATGTAAACAAGCTTGTTTGTCTTAGTGATTGGCTGAAAAATAAGTAGGACTGAGTGGCCTTGTGGGGTCTAACGTTTTACATTGTTTTATTGTTAAGTGGAGTTCTTCTTGTTTGTCTTAGTGATTGGCTGAAAAATAAGTAGGACTGAGTGGCCTTGTGGGGTCTAACGTTTTACATTGTTTTATTGTTAAGTGGAGTTCTTCTTGTTTGTCTTAGTGATTGGCTGAAAAATAAGTAGGACTGAGTGGACTTGTGGGGTCTAGCATTTTGCATTGTTTTATTAAGTGGAGTTATTCTTGTTTATATAATTCTACATTTGTAAGTTCAGCTTTCATGATAGAATTCGCACTACAATACTTCCGTGAGGTGAACTGATTTTTTTTTTTTTTTTACAGTGGAAATGTTTTCTAATAAAAAATAAATATAAAATGAGCACTATACACTTTGTAGTCTGTTGTAATTGAAATCAATATATTAGATGTAGACAACATGCAAAAATATTTAAATAGATCGTATTCTTATTTTTTTACAGTGCGATTAATTGCACGATTAATTTTTTTTAATCGCTTGACAGCCCTAATTCTACCCTGACTGACTCCTTTGTTGCCCTGCTGAAGTCAGAGAGTTCATGGAGGACAAGTTCTTCGATGGCTTTTGGCCAAGGTGGTCATTGGACACAACCCCTTTTGCTCTTGAGTGCCCTCCCTCCCCCCGTCGCACCTCTACCTGCCAGAGGCTGGGTGACAGGATGGCTTGCTTGGGGATTCCTTGTGCTCGTTCCTTTTGGGGCACCTTGCATTAACCCTTGTTAGAGGACCAGAGGCTGAGTGAGGGGGACTCTGGCTGTGACCCGGTATAGGCTGGTCTCACGGTCTTCGGACTAGGAGGGTTCTGGAGGCTTGTGCCCGCCTGGGTGCCCTCACTGCTTTTGGCGGAGCTGCCCAGCTGCTGCTCAGGGTCGTATCTGCCGTCCCGAGTAAGCCCTATACTAGCATCTCTGTGGGAAGAGGCTCGCTGCCTGGTTCTGGTTTCTCCCTCCTGTGGCTCCGTTAGCTTTCCTGGGCTTCCTTCTGGTGCCGGGTGATGAGAATTGGGCCGGAATTTCCTCAGCCCCTGTGCCGACTCCGAGGGGCAGCCTCTTGCAGAGATGCCCTGGCTGTGCCGCGTGGCCAGGAGAACTGAGCCCGGGGTCTCTGCACCAGGTAACAGAGAAAGCCAGCAAACCGCACCCTGGGCGAGCCGTGTGAGGAGACGGCTGTTCACACGGACACTCAGGGGCCGCTCCAGAGGGAAACGGCCTGAGCAGCCTCTAACTGTGTCCCTGGCTTCTCTTTCCCATGTCCTGCACAGGTACCTGGGCAGCGAAAGCCATTAAGGAACAAGGACCGGGAGAGGGTCACGCCAAGGAGCTGGAGTCTGGGCCGACGGCGATGGCAGGGAAGCCCTACAGGAGCCCTCTGGTCCCGGGGAGCCAGCCAGGGAGTGGGCAGGAGGCTCCCGGAGCAGCCTCTAACTGTGTCCCTGGCTTCTCTTTCCCATGTCCTGCACAGGTACCTGGGCAGCGAAAGCCATTAAGGAACAAGGACCGGGAGAGGGTCACGCCAAGGAGCTGGAGTCTGGGCCGACGGCGATGGCAGGGAAGCCCTACAGGAGCCCTCTGGTCCCGGGGAGCCAGCCAGGGAGTGGGCAGGAGGCTCCCGTCGAGTGTCCTGGAGCCCTCGGGAAGCGCCATGCCAGCCCCCCCCAGCTAAGGAGCCCCCCAGGGGAACTGGGGCTGGCCTGGGCCG